GGGCTGCGCGAATTATTCGCGTATCGATTTGGATGCGAAGAAATTACTTCAACAATGTTGCAACAGTGTTGTTAGTAATTACCCATGGCATGTCGAAAATCGAATGGGTTTGTTTAGAGTTCATTAACTACCTAATTTTTGTTCCAATGCTGTATGCATTGTGAATTTTTCTTTATTATTGTGTTGGGAAAGAAAATCTAATAAACACAAGCTTCTAATTCTCTCTTTCTTGTACTGGTAATTTTTTTAGTATAATTTTAACAAAAAAAAAACGAATTCAGGAAACTAAAAATATTGTTAATACCTATAGGTATTAACAATATTTTGACGATTGCCCTCGATTTCTCAGGTGTGCCATCATCAGATCCGGGTTTCCTTATCAGGGTCACCGAGAACACACGTAAATATACGGTCAAATTGAGAAACCTCGTCCTTTTTTGAAGTCTGTTAAAAATACAAATATACCAATTTGCGTACTTGATAGTGAACCGTTCTATGACGCATTTAGTGATTAAGACACATTATTTTTCTAGTATCTTGGTATGTATCTTTATTTAAAGTTGTAATTATTTACAAAAATGTATGTTTATACACAGTACAAGCATTACTTATATTGGGAGCTTCATTTATAGGTTTGTCCGATAACATTTATTTGTTTGTATTTTTTAAAAGAAAGTAAGAAACTCTCACTGACAAAGAACTCAAAGAGATAGTACTTGCATAAAAACCCAACTTAAAATACTAAAAACTTCAATGTTTCCGTTATTTTTCAAATCAAATAGATGCCAAAGGAGGTAACACAACATTTAGTTGCATTCTGATGTATATGAATCCACATTAGAATCAGTTAAAGAATAGACATTCGATTAGACAACAAGACTGCCATATTCGAATGGAAAAGATAATTGTGCATGTATTGAAACCAATGATTATTACATGTAATATTGGTTTTAACAGTAAAGGGTATCCACAACTGACACTCACGAGTAGGTATATGTATGAAGAGGGGTACATGTGTGCAAAGGTTGTGAAATGGATATCTGTTAGCATTCCCTGACCTCTAGGTGAAAAGCATGAGTATTTATTTCATATATCTATATATATATCTATGTTATCTTAGTTTGTTTGTTACATTTTTATCCTTTAAAGCTGAGTAAAAATTCAACAAAAGGACTCTTTTACCCCTTATAGGAATTAGAAACATCAAGTGGTTTGCCTGGTGGACAAAAGTGGCTTATGAGAAACCCTACAATATTTCTTTGATGATTTTTTCCATTAAAACATAATAAAATGTTTTCAGAAATATTTTAATAGCATGTCTATATCATGACTCAGAATTATTTTAAAGATTTGCAGTCTACTATATGAGCCATAACTGATAAAATTAAACCATAAACAATTATAAAAACTATAATGCTTAAATATATAGATGTAATTGTTGTTTAGTTGAATGAATAAATATCCAATAACAACAAAGTAAAAGTCACGCTTCATATGATGATTTCCATTAGCCACAAATAAAAAAAGAATCAGGATTCAAATCCAATCCTAATAATTGCAATATACAAGTGACAATGAGATGAGATGAGAGACTTCATCACAGACTTTATATAAATTAGATCTACATATACATGATCATTGAGTGTAAAGTTATTTAATATGATAAAAGTAAACTTCAAAAGTTTCTGATACCTATTTAAATAATATTCATTAGTCTATTACTTTTCAAAATATATATCTAATTAATGGCTTCAGTACATAAAATAAAATAAATATTATTCAATTTATTTTCAACTGAATGGATTTTCTTATTGTGTTTTAAGAATAAATATAAATGATTTACATTTCTTTTTTTGGTAGTTTATATTGACATATATTAATTTAAAAATATTACATTATGTACGATTTCTAAATAAGTTCATATAATTTTATTACCTATTTAGTCTTATAATTTATGTAAGTTATATTGTAATATAATATGTTCGTATTAAATGGTATGTTTACTAGTGTATTAATATATGTTTAATAAACATATTTAAAACCGTAAAACCGCCATAAGAATGTTGCCATAATATATGATGAGATGTAATAATATTCGAGTATATTTATCACCTAGAAGTTACGCCTGCCAAGCTTATGACGAAAATATATATTAACGACACGAAAAAATATAAATGACGAAAACATACGGTTTCAAAGGAATTTTTTTCTAACACTCCTTCGCGCGGACCAATAGTTTAAAGAACAGGTTTTCCGAGCACACAATTAACAATCAAACTCAATTACGGTAATTAGCGTAAAAACTGTTTTATAACCACAATGCTAAGCACAAACAATGATAGAAAATTTTTGTATGGCACTAAGTTCGTTGGATCCCAACTATCGCCCGACACAACATTTGCAATTGCAGTGATGAAATTGATGAAATACACATGTTTAACAACAACAAATGAATGTTACTTACGTAAGATGCCTTAAATAAAAAGATTTTGAACATCGTATCCGGATTGATTTGATGTCCTGCTGTCAATTTTCCACTCAGAATTCACAAAAAGAAAATTTATCACACAAAATTTTTAGTAGAGTACGGAGGTAAATAGGTACTTTCTGTAAATATTTAATTTCAAGACATTTTATTTATAATTGGTTTAATTTAGTGAGAAACCCGCGAGAAATAAGCACCATTTTGAAAGATTGAATTGAAGAAAGATCGTCAAGGTTTTTCGCTCATGTCAGCCTTTGCGTCATTGCGACAATATGCGTTTTTTATAGCTCTGTCTTGGATACTGAGATTTTAGCCATTCATACAGAATTAGGGGAAAACATTATAACTAACATTAACATAATTACTAATATTAGTAAACTATTAAATGATTATAAAAGCAAAGTTTTTTTGTAGTCAATGCAAACAAAGGCGAATTTTCATATGTATGTTTTGCTGTAAGTTTACATAAAATAAGAAAATATTATCGGTTACATGTTTTTAACTTTTTTAGCCGACTTCAAAAAGGGATATTTGTTACCTCAAAACTTTCGAGTGGGTGAACCGATTTTGAAGATCATTTTTCTACAAATTTTAAAGATTATTTTTATATTTGGTGCTTTCCGTGTTGTGCCGCGACAAATGGACGAATTTCCGATTACGATGATTCTTTTTTTATTGGAAGGTAGTTTGAAGAGAGTTTGGTTTGGTTCTGATTATGGAATCCATGAAAAAGTAACGGAACTTTTCAATTTTTTGGAGAAAAGTTAACGATGGCCGAATCTTTTATAGATTAAATCTGGATAGTTGAGTCTACTACGGTAACGTCATTATGGTACAGTAAGTATCTTAGTCGAATATGATGATTAATAGAACTCCTCAACGGCTTACAGTAAGGGTGCGAGCCGTTTTCTTGTACGAGCAGCGTCATTGCTAGCATTTGATAAAAGATGGTTAGATTTAGGTCTACCCATATTTTATAATTATATATAGATTTTATAACACATAAAGTATTAAAATTAACTCACTAGAAATAAAAAAAAAAATAAAAAAAAATATTTTAAACTTTTCAGTATTATAATTTTTTGAAGTGGATTTTTTTATGTTTCTCTTTTCATAAGCATCACATCGAAAATATAGTGCCGATACACTTTATCTTATAACATGTTATGGCTAGTAACATTGTTAGTTTTTGGATTTGCAGTTGCGTTTCCAAACTTTTTAATAAGTTACCTTACTCAACTGACGATACGCGGAAGTGTTATACTTCTACGGCACCCTGGTCTTATTATTTATACTATACGGTATTTCCCCGCTGGAGCGTGCCTATTTGTGTAACAGCAAACGCGGCGTGGCCCTACCACAGTTATGTATCAATCAACACATCATATTTACAATTTCATTAGGGTTTTTATTTCTGACTTGGACGATGGTGTGAAGTGTTAAATCTGACAAAGCAAAAGTAATCCACTTAAAAATTTAGTATTTTTCTATATAGATATATATAGGTAGTAAATTTATTATACCATATCAGACCATTAACGCCATATCAACACCATTATTTAGAAACGAGTCCCTCGTTTCTAAATAATGGTGTTGTAGAGAGTCAGGTTAAATAAATTCCATGAGTGAGGTATTTAAACTTTTTATGACATCTAATGGCCTTTCGTAATTTTGGAAGATGCTAAAATAGGTCTGCGGCTGTAAGATCGTGATGTCGTGACACGCCATAATCAACATCGGGTTACGACGACAACTGACAAAGTTATTGTTATACATCAGTGAACGCTAATAAAACATGGGAGCCGCACATTCATACAAGTGATTGTTGAAACTACAGTGGAATTGAGAATCTCCTACTTTTTTTAAGTCGGTTAATAAATAGTACAACTATACAACTCTCATTGACATCTCAGATCACGCGCCGTCAATTAAAAACGAATTTATTTGTTAGTTCAACTAAGTCTACATCCCTAAAATAGCCTCGCTGTACGGTTTTTACGGTTGTAAACGTAGTGATTACATTCTCTTTGGGTTTTTATTCTAAGCCCCGCGCTGTCACGGTATGTACAGTTTTTCGTTGACACTTTGGAGTGATAATATTTCTTCCATTTTTATTTGCGTTCACCTTCTGAAAACGGTGTATTACAACTTTTAAGATGGTCACGTCACTTAGAGTTTTAGCATATACATAGATTTTTTTGTCTTACAATTTTAATGTGAATATTATAAAATTGAGAATTTTAAGAACAACTTGACATAGCGGGATTATGATAACTCACAAAGCAAGCGGTTAATAAAGAAATTTAAGAAACGATTGCTGTATTATTTAATTCAAAGGTGTTATAAAAATGAGCTAGGCCCACCAAATCTAAATCTATCAAACAGAAACATTATCAAAATCTCAAAGACATCTTGTCATCGATATGGATTTAGGAAGAGGTTGTCTATCGATCTTAAGAAATAAATATGTTTAATAACAATAAATAATTTATTCCCAAAAAAAAAAAAACAGTTAAACGTAAACTTCCGTCCCGACTTTGTCGTTAATGTCGCTTATCCTCCGCCACGCCGCGTACTCCTCCCTTAAGCCTTTCCTGCCCAGATAGAAGGGGAAATGTTTTCCTGTCGACAGGTAGAATATTCCCGGCTTAGTATCATCCGCGTTCGGGCCCATCAGGTTGGTCTGCGGGGCCCTGCCGTAGCAGCTCGCGTCTCGCGCCTGCTGTATGCTCTCGCACTGGATGGCGACGAACCCGTCGGGGTGCCTCAACGCGGCGAGCCAGTAGAAGAGCACCTTGAAGTGGCTGCAGGTGGTCGTGCACGGGAACAGGTTCAGGTCCGACGGCTGGAACTCACCGCCGTTCACGTAGAAGTCCACGTGGCCCATCCTGGCGGCCATGCCGAAGCCGTCTATGTTCGTGTGGACCACTTGGACGAAGTCGGCGTCCGAGGCGGCGAGCCTGTCGGCACTTCCAAGATCTCTGAAGCATGGCCCCGCCGGCTCCAATCCGTATATGCGGGATATGTTTCTCCCGGTTAGCAGCTGGTAGTTTTTGGCTGTGTAGCTGGCGGTGTGGGCGCCGAGGCTGAACCCCAGCAGTTCCAGCCTCGATGGGTCGAGCCCTGACTGCGTAAGTTGCGCCAGGACCTCAGCTACGTGTAAGCCTACTGGTCGCATCAGACGCGACGCTCTGGAAGATGGAAAAGATTGGATTGGATTAAAAGAATTTTTAAAAGAACTTGATAGAGTGATTCAAGAGGAAGGTTTATATTATTAATACATTGTATCCGCGCGAAGCAGGGGCGGGTCGCTAGTATTTCTTAAATCGTATAATATGTAATCATTATCGTCCATCGATCATAGAAAATCTGAAAATCTCAAACATTTGTGAATAAAGATGCCGGTCATATAAGGCTTTTAAGATGATACAATTGTAAACATAATAGGGTTATGATTCTATATAAATTTTTTCTCTCAGTTTTCATTTGATTTTTTTTAATTTCATTTAATTTTTTCTTTTGATTTATTCTCTCTTTAATAAAGTTTGGACGAATACAATAACGCATGCAAGGGCTTATGAGGAGTTTCTCCATCTCGAACTTTCCAATTTAGTGCCAATTTTAATTTTACTCACAGGAAGTAATGTACAGTTGCAAATCGCTGATTGTCCACAAGTATCACGTTGTAGCCCCTGGCCACGTATTCCTTGGCGAAAATAGATGAGATGGGGAAGTTTGTGCTGTCCAGGTAGCCGATGGCGACGACGACGGTCTTTCTGAAAATATACATAGATATGCCTTAGAGTTAAACTTACTCATGTTGTGAATGCGAAATTGTGTTTGTTTATTTTTCAGTCTTTCACGTTGGAAAGGAGCGATTACATGGAGTGATTTTTGCGTCTGGAGATAGTTACGAGGCTGGAGAGTGACGTATACAAGTTGCAAATAGTACAAAATAAATTCATCCGCCGCGCAAACGGTGCGCAGTGGTATCAACGCAACGTCGACCTGCACAGCAATTGCAGACTCCCGACGATTCGCGAATATTTTAAAGACCTGACCAAACGGTTCTTCGATAGAGCCGAACATCATCTCAATCCTCTGGTGGTAAGCGCAGCAAATTACCAACCCGACAACCGCGAAACGTCCTCATCGACCCGGTCGAGGAAGGGGAGTTAGATACGTTGGATCCACCGCCGGGGTCCCGCCGGATAACACTATAACCACAGCTAGTGTAACAACAAACACAATAGTTCGCCCTCGCCTCCGAGCACGGCGAGACCAACGCAACGCGTACAAGGTACACCCGCGTTCCATGGCGGTTCTCACCGCCCCCAGCCACCGATTAGCTAAAAACACTGTCGACGGCCATCGGGGTCCCGGTCCGAACCGCAACCTCGATGGCCCTTAGATGACATACCATAGTTAAACGCACGCATGAGCACATGCGCGGCCCTACCCACAGCGGAGGGCCTACCGTTTCTGCGTTCTACAGATGAAGCTTTAATAGTCACGGGTCTGAAAGCAAAAACATCAATTAATACAAGATACAAGAAAGAGTGACGTAGGTTACTTTTTATCGGTTCTAAAATCATCAAAATCGGTTCTCTCAGTAGAAAGTTCTGAGGTAACACCCATAAAAAAATAAAGTCGAATTGAGAACCTCCACCTTTTCGAAGTCGGTTGAAAACTGACCTGCTGAGGTCCACCCTGGGGTCCGAAGCGATGTTCTTCGCGTCCCAGTAGGTGTACGTCTTCCTCGAACCGCCTTTCCCCTGAACCACGAAGAACAAGTACTTCAGCTGGCTCCGCGGTATGCTGGCTGGTTTTGTTGACCCTGGGCCTGGTGTGATGGTAAAATAAACATTTTAAAATGCTTATTAATAACATTTTTTTATGTGAAACGTTGCCAATCGAGCAGACGGTTCACCTGATGTTAAGTGAATACCGCTGCCCATGGGCATGGAACACCCGAGGGTTCCCGATGCGTTACCAGACATTAGTCGCGTTGATTCAATTGGGGTCCACTTTATCACGTGTTAAGTGGTGAAGGAAAATATAGTGTGGAAACCTGCACCTATTCGAGATAATAACAAAAAGATATGTATTGCGAAGATATCCGCAGCGGGGTCGCGTGGTGGACTATACCCTAATACCCACTGTACAGTGCAGGTCTTTGCCTTCAGTGGGACGTATATAGGCTGTTACTTTACCTTAATGTTATGTGTATACTACTGTTCGCTACCAAATAAAATAAAATAAAATAGAAGCGATTTCTTCCAGGCAATCAGGTTAAAGAGCATACAATGGACCAATGAGAAGGGTTGAGGTATATCCTGTGGTAATCAATATTCGAAAATCTTCTATTCATTCTCTTTCTTCTTATTTACATTCATAAATAAATAATTACAAATTATTAACTTATTAAAAAATTTTATGTTTATTACAAATTTTATGTTTATTACATATGTTATATACACACTGGTGACCGGCCCCGGCTTCGCACGGGTGCAATGTATTATACATATAAACCTTCCTCTTGAATCACTCTATCTAGTAAAAAAACCGCATCAAGATCCATTGCATAGTTTTAAAGATTTAAGCATATATAGGGACAGACAGACAGCGGGACGACTTTGTTCTATGATTGAAGAAAAATATACGTAAGTGAGAGCGAGGGACATACGTTAACGTTCATTTAGGTGCTATTAGATGAAACGTCGCCCGTGTTTTCCATTGCGGACTAAATGTAACATTCTGCAGCGTACACTGGTGTCGCAACAGGCCGCGCTTTACGTACACGTCTTGCAACACTTCGGAATTTCTTAAACGCGTATTATAATTAAAACCAGCATGAAGTACCCTCCATAACGGTTTAATTGTATAATCATACTTAGTTTAGTCATTTTTGGTGGCGTGTCATTTGGGAGCTGTGACTAATTATAGGGGACCAAGATATCTTTGCCAGCTTTCCCTGCGTGATACAGTTCGCAATGTAGATATTGGAAATAGAACAAAGGTAACCGACATACGAATAGCTCGGAAGATTCGTATTCGCCATCGCACGGTAGGATGACCCTTTCTTTTTTATTTATCTATTTATTTACCATTACACAAGTTATGATTTATGATAGTACAATCATAATTGTTTTTAGTTTCATTTGTATATCCACTTACAAATATTGTGCAAGTGGCTATACAAGCTTTCATTTCCGAAAGGAGTTAACAACAGGGGGCATATGTCATGTAAATTATAACTTATTAGATATATAGGCTGTACAATATGTATCTGTGGAAATGTACGGGAAGTCGATGGATACAGGCTCAGGATCGTGCTTCGTTTCCGCCTGTGGGGGCGCCATATGTTTAGCAGTGGACTAGAACGGGCTGTAATTATGATCATTATGATGATTAAGTCGCTTGGCTATCGTCATCTTTGTCTCAACGGGTATCCGTCGATCGCAGCGAACTAGCGGTTTGACGCGTTAAGATGACCGCTTAGAGACCGAAAGTTGCAAGACTTGTATGTTAAGCGCAAGTTTAAGCTCGCGTCCGTCATGGCGTTAAGTTAAGAGTTTTTTTTTATGTGAAAGGTGGCAAGTGAGCCGGTGATTCATCTGTTGACGGCTACCACTTCTCATAGGCATACCACCAGATGGTTTGCAGGTGTCATGGAAACTATTAAAATTGTGATCTGGCGAGGTATAGCCGAGGGATCACTCACCAGGGGATACGATAAACTACTCCAACTTCACGCCGTAATATTTCCCTGGACGTTGTTCATTCGTGCAACACATCAAGTTGTGGTGTTACACAACGGTAACTTCGGTTGTCGCCAGCAATATTTCCGGACCGATACGACGTAGACTCCCTTCTTGAAGGCAAGAAGAGAGTCTACGCCTACCTTAAAACGCAATTTGTGACTTCTCCTACTCCGACGTTGCAAGTGTCCATGGGCGATGGTGATCGCTTACCACCAAGCGGTATACATAAGCTAAACACTCTCTAATGTTTCCGAAAAAAAAAATGCGGATTTCCTGATCCACTGTACAGAAATTAACAATTTCATTGATGCCGACACCGGGGTTCGAACTCAGTATGCTCGAAATCAAAATCAAAATCGAATGTCTTTATTCAACATAATATGAGTATTAACCTCGCTTATTGATAGTCAAAATACTACCACCGGTTCGGAAAAGAAAGCCAAGAAGCCAGAAAAGAAAGGCTTTCTTTTCAGAAAAGCGAAAGAAACTCAGCGCGCCTTTTTTTTATTAAGCAGTTTGACATGAATTCATTACAAATACAATATAAGAACTCTTATTGAAAGAACCTGGAGCGATCAGTTCATTACCAGAGTGTGTTATCATTTAAATAGTCATTAATATTATAATAGCCTCTAACACACAAATGTTCTTTTACTATTGAAACGAAGTTCCTTATCGCGCGTTGTGAAAGGGGGCTAGACGGAAAAAATTTTCATGAAAAATTGTAACGACACTTTTTGATATAGTAAGCTATTGTAAGCTGTGCGTGACTGTTGTTTGTCTGTCAGACAGACAAACATGACAGTTTCTAGAGGAAGAATTTGATTTAAGAATTAACAATAATCCAGCAGAATCAACAACAAAATATAATACTAACATTGATGCAGTTTTTGCAAGACATTTAAATAATAGAAAAAAATGTTTTCCTACTTCATAAAATGAGCCTTTACATTATATTTGTTAATAATAAAAAAATATTATTATAACTTAAAAAAAAAAATTTATTACAATTCCTTCACTAATTAATCGATAGGAACTTCGTTCCATCCGGGTGTCCCTTGACACCTCTCAATGTTTTTTAATTTAGTTATTGATGCATTTTGAACATATCGCTCCTCCCACCGAATAATATGGTAATGTGTTATAACGATACTTTGGGTTTTATTGCATATTCGTCATGTAGACATCCTTTTACATCTTATACATTTTTTTCACATTTTTCCTGTGAGTAATTTTGAAACTAGCATTTATATAATAACCATATCCTTATTATTCCGTTACAGGTTTAGTATAATTATTTACATGAATAAAATCGCTACTGGTGATTACTACTTGCACTACAAATAAGGTTTTAAATGTTGACTATAACGATATTATTCGAGTAAAAAAGAGCAAACTCGAGTTCTAGTAAAGTATTCTGACAATACTATTCCTGTAGTAATTTTATTTGAAAAATGTGGTAATTTTGGTTAACATTTAATTGTATTTAAAAAAAAATACATTTGACTTTTGCAAAAGTATACCGGGGCGTTGTTTACACTCGAATTAAGATTGCTGTATTCTTTATTACCACGAGCCACAAGTAATACGCATCGCTTTCTTTTATTCTTAAGATAAAGAAAAGGATAGAGCAATACCGAGTGCTGGGCACGTGCTGGTTAATCGCCGTGTTTGTTTACTTTATTAAATCGGTATTCAGTACCAAAAAATATTTAGGTAGTGAAGTGATGCGCTCTTAGTATCAATATTATAATAAGTACTTACTTACATAATTATCGAGTTCTTTTTGTATTTTACATTAATATTGTGTTTAGTGTGATTTTGAATACGATAAAATCACAAAGAATATGAAAAAGACAGTTTTGAAAAACCACCTAGGCAAATTCTGGATTATATAACCTATAAGATATAGGACCTATAAGATTTATGTACTTACGTATCTATATGCTTACGTACTGCTTGGCTAATAGAACTATGAACCTACCTAAAATGACCGTGGCTCGTGTGCCTTTGAGAAGGTTTTAGAGGTAACTAACTCTAATCCGTTGCCAACCACGTGAAGAGGGAGATACCTAGTTGTTGTACATGAAGACTAGGTATTCATCATTATTATCATTTCAGCCGGTTGATGGCCAGTACTGGGCATAGGCCCAATCTAGTTTCTAAATTGATGGATTATCGCCTCAGCAATTTAAAAAAAATATTCAGTTAATACCTAATTTATACTGCCCCTCTACTTAATTTTTTTTCAGACATCCAGCCATCCACTTCAAGTGCACTGACTGAAGATGTCGTAATTACTGAATTTCTTTGGACAATTCTTCTTCTTCTGTACGTGTAGATGACAGATCATATCTTTCCAGCCCAGAACTTAGCCACTTCGACAGCACAATTTGTTTTCTTTATTTTTTACGTGTGAAAAGTTTCCAAACGAGCAGACGGTTCATCTAATGTTAAGTGAGTACCGCCGCCCATGGACATCTGCTACACCCGAGGGTTTGCAGATGCGTTGACACCTTTTTGGAAATTGGGTTCCGGCCACCTCACTCACCAGACGAAACGCGAAAGTATTTATCATACTTCCACTTTACGCCGGTCTTCTGTGAGGTCGTGGTACCCGGACGAGCCTGCCCATTCGTGCAACAGCCGAGGCTGTTGCGTGGCCCTACTACCGTAAAACCGTACCGTTGTGGAATCCATCAGATCCTGCTGCAAACAGGTAAAAGGGCAGGCAGGCAGGGCACATACAGTCCAGGTCTGAGTTTTTTGAGAGTCCCCACCTGAACATATTTTCTTTGTTTCTGCCAACCTGAGTCCGAAGTCTAATTAAAGACTTCCAGGTTGGCCAAGGTAGTCTATGACCAGCTGGAAGACTCTCAGAAAGCGGGATAAAGGGATCCGGAAGCGGAGTTTGAACACGCCACATGCTGCATCTCGCTTAAGAGGGCTCGGTTGTGAGGGGGACAACATATTTTAAAAAACTTTTTCGACTTTTCAGCCTTTGCGGTGGAAGCTCATGCACATGTAGGGGGTGCCGCTTATCTTCGTCCGCCTTAGTCCTCTCTAGCGAGCTTGCCAC